AAACAAAAAAACCTCACTGCCATCTAGTCTATTCAGACATATAGCAGCCCCCTTGGGTTTCTGAGGCAGTGAATCTTTATGGAAGTCAATTGCCCTGGGGAGTGCCTGGTGGGTTTAGCAGTCAAATGTCTTAGGCACTGCACCACCAGAGCTCCTTTTACTGGATCTAGGATAGAAGTAAATGAACCAAAAACCAACTCACAGCCATCAAGTCAGATCTGACTCATAGCAACTACTACTTGGGTTTCCGAGGGGGTATCACTATGGAAGTAGATTGTTCAACCTTCCTTCTGAGGAGTGGCTGGTAGGTTTGAACCACCAGCTTTCTGGTTAGCAGTCAAGTGCCCTAGGCACTACACTACCACATCCTAAATAATTCCAAGAAATTCAGTCTGGAAGTGTTGATAGTTCAAGCTCCCTTTGTTCACAATTTTATTTTTCTCCCCAGGCCTGCTATATTTCTTAGCTAATTGGACCAGCTTCAAAATGCATGGCCAAAGTGTACTGAAGATTTTGATTCAAGCAAAACCTGTATAAAAATGTTGATAGTAGCTTTATTCATAATCGGCAAAAACTGGAAACAACCAACATTACCTTTAACCGGTAAATAAATAAACTGGTACATCCACATCATAGAGTACTGATCAGTGATAAAAGTGAATCAGCTATTGATTTATGCAACAACATGGATGGATCTTAAATGCATTTTTCTGAGTGAAATAAGACAAACCCCCAAAGCTATGTATATTATTTTCCTATTGCTGCTGTAGCAAATGACCCATAGTTAGTGGTGGCATAGTGCCTAAGGCTAACCAGATTGCTAACCAGAAGGCTAGCAGTTCAGACCCACCAGCCACTCCCCGGAAGGAAGGTTGACCAATCTACTTCCATAGTGGTACTGCCTCGGAAACCCAAGGAGGGGTCGCTATGAGTCGGATCGGACTCCACAGCAGAGAGTTTGGTTTTGGTTTTGCAGTGTTGCAAAAAAACACAAATTTAGTCTCAAAAAAGAATAAGAAAGTTATACCCTATCGGCCACTCTGCGGACGAAAGACAGGGTAATCTACTTCCCTAAAGATTTACCACCTCGGAAACCCAGTGAGGGTCCCTATGAATCGGAATCTACTGGATGGCAATGGGTTTATACTAAAGTTACCAAGATCAATTTTGCAGGCACTGAAGGTGGAAGTTCTCCCTCTTGTGGTAAATGTTGGTATTGATATGCTGCCTGCTTGCCAAGGTAGAGTTTCTGCTTTTTAAATTAGCATTTAGGGGCTTTACACCACCTTAGAACCATAAAACCATTTGCCATGGAGTTGAATCCGACAAATAGTGGCCCCATGTGTTGCAGAGTAGAACTGTGCTCCATAGGGTTTTCGTGGCCATGACCTTTTGGAAGTAGATAACAAGTCTTTCTTCCAAGATGCCTTGGGAGAAGAGAAGTAGGGGAGGGGTTCAAACCAGCACTTAGCAGCCTAGCCCTGAGCTGTTTGCACCACCCAGGGACTCCCTTAGAACCATACCAAAGGTTTTTAGAACCTTGTAGATAATATTGTAGGAACTCTGATAGTCTAGTGCCTAAGGCGCTTGACTGCTAACCAGAAGCCTGGGGGTTCAAACCCACCGGGGGAAGGTTGGGCAATCTACTTCTGCAGTGATAGCCTCGGAAACCCAAGGAGGCGTCGCTATGTCAGGTCTGACTTGATGGCACATAACAACAAGAAGACGATGTTGTCAGATAAAATAATTTTACAGATGGGCAAATGGGTGCTATAGAGCTGGAGCAAGTTGCATAATGTCCCCCAGGGACAGATTTAAACCTAACACAGGTTCCTGAAGCTCATGAAGATCTCTGTGCTGACTCAGTCTGATTCATTCCCATGCTTTGCATGAGAACTTTTTATAAAAAATAAAATAAAGCGTCTGATCAACTACGATGCTGTCCATTGAAAACATCCTGGAGATCTGCCCCTTTCACCTCACCTTCCATAATTTTCTTTACTTTCTTTTAATATTTGTCTCTTTAGGTCACAGCAAACATGTATGGTGGTGTTTGTGTTTGTGTGTGTGTCTACGTGTGTGTGTGTACATGTCAGGCAATATGGTAGATGCCTCACTTCTAACATGTTTGACAGAGGTATTCAAACACATCTTTCAGAAAAAGTCATATTAAAGGAAGATGATATTTTGCACAATGAAATCAGGCCAGTCCCCATTTCTGCCACAGAGAGATGCGAATTGAACATACAGCTCAGGGCTTTGTGCAAATGATCCTAATCTCTGCTATAGGCTTCTTAATAGGTTGTCATGATGTAGCCATTAGAGGGAGGAGATGGGCTGTGTTCTCTCCCCTCATTTAATTTAATGGGATTCCAATGAGGATCGTGAAATAGTACTGATTCCAGAAACACAGGCTGGTAAACCAGGATGGGATCTCAGAGATCTGGACTAGCTCTTTCATAGTACTTTTAAGGAAAATGAGGCCGAAAGAAGGGGATGGCTGGCTAACAACACACACACAGTGGAAGAGGTAAAACCACACTTTCACTCCCCAGTATTATGGGTACAAGCTCACTCCACATTATTTCATATTTCTGGTAGATCTACTGAGCATATAGTAATGTTAGTTCTGGAAGAAGATTTGTTCTGCCTGTTCTGAGTCATGAAGATTTGTTTATCTTCACTCACAGTTAGTGAAGGCCAACCCTGGGACAACCCCCTTCTCAGAGAAGACTATACACCAGCTATGGAATAGTGACTCAACCCTTTGAAGGAAGGAGAGAAGCTCTATAGAGTTGCCAGGGAGAGTGCTTGAGGGAGGGGGGCTACCACTCTATTGAGAAGAGTGGGAACTCCAGAACAGTTAATCGTGCTCATGAGGAACCTGTACATAGACCAAGAGACTGTCATTCATAACAGAACAAGGGGATACTCGGTGGTTTAAAATCTGGAAAGGAGTGTGTCAGGGTGTATCCTTTCACTGTACTTGTTCAATATTTATGCTGAGCAAATAATCCAAGAAGCTAGACTACGTGAAAAAGAACACTCTATCAGGATTGGAGGAGGACTCATTAACAACCTGTGATAAGGAGATGACACAACCTTGCTTGCTGAAATTGAAGATGACTTGAAGCACTTACTAATGAAGATTAAAGACTACAATCTGCACTATGCATTGTTGTTGTTGTTGTTGTTATGTGCCGTCGAGTCAAACCTGACTCATAGTGACCCCTCCTTGGGTTTCCGAGGCAGTATCACTACGGAAGTAGGATTGCCCAACCTTCCTTCCGAGGAGGGGCTGGTGGGTTTGAACCGTCAGCCGTCTGGTTAGCAGGCAAGTGTCTTAGCCACTATGCTACCAGAGCTCCTGCAGTATGCATTACACCTCAATATAAAAAAAACAAAAATCCTCACAACTGGACCAATAAGCAGAATCATGATAAATGGAGAAAAGATTGAAGTTTTCAAAGATTTCATATTACATTTTTCCATAATCAACACCCATGGAAGCAGCAGTCAAGAAATCAGATGACGTGTTGCACTAGGCTAATCTGCTGCAAAAGGCCTCTTTAAAATACTGAAGAGCAAGGATGTCTCTTTGAAGACTAAGGCACATCTAACCCAAGCCAGGGTCTTTTCAATCATCTCATATGCATGTGAAAGCTGGACAATGAATAAGGAAGACCAAAGAAGAGTTGATGTTTTGCGTTGTGGTGTTGTCAAGGAATACTGAGAGTACCATGGGCTGCTAGAACTAACAAATCTGTCCTGGAGGAAGTACAGCTGGAATGTTCCTTGGAAGTGAGAATGGCTAGACTTTGGTCATATTGTCAGTAGGGACCATTCTCTGGAGAAGGATATCATGCTTGGTAAAATGGTAAAATTTCAAAGGTCAGTGAAAAAGAGGAAGGCCCTCAATGAGATGAATTGACACAGTAGCTGTAATGATGGGCTGAAGTAAAGGATTGTGAGGCTGGCACAGTACTAGGCAGTGTTTCATTCTGTTGTACACGGTGTCTCTTTGAGTCAGAGCCAACTTGATGGCACCTGACAACAACAACACAACACTATTCTATGCAAAGAGCCTGAATGATTCAGTGTTTAAGTGCTCATCTTCTAATTGAAAGGTCAACACTTTGAAACTACCAGCCTTTCCATGGGAGAAAGATGTGCCAATCTGCTTCTGTAAAGATTTATAGTCTTGGAAACCCTGTGGGGCAGTCCTACTTTGTCACACAGGGTCATGAAGAGTAGAAATCGACTTGACAGCAACAAGTTTGGTTTTTTGGTTTACTACCCTATACGATCTGTCTTATGCCATTAGAAAAACAAAAACAGGAACCCAACACTCTTAAAGATGGCACACAACAAAAACAACAAATTAATAGGAAGAGGTTGGTGTTGGAATAAGGAGCCCTGATGGCCCAGTGGTTAAAGTACTTCTCTGCTAATTGTAAGATCAGCAGTTTGAACCCACCAGCTGCTCTGTGGGAAAAAAAGATATGGCAGTCTGCTTCTATAAAGATTATAGCTTTAGAAACCCTATGAGACAGTTGTACTCTTTCCTGTAAAGTGGTTATGAGTCAAAATCAATTCAACAACAACGGGTAAGTATTGTGATTGAGGAGAAGAAAGATGTCATAGGTGGAATACCAGTGGATTGACTGAATTTCTGTCCTTCTCAAGATGAGTTTAGAATAAGTGTCTATTCTATTCTCATCCGTGGATATGCAAGGGATATTCCCTGAAATAGGAAGAAGAGGTGGAATATTGCAAAATTCTGAGACTCTTTTAAAAAAATGAAAAACAGAAAAAAGCAAAAGAGACAAGTTTTGGGGATATTTTCTTCTTTTTTTAATCAGACTTTCACATTTGATGCTGGATTCATTCAACAAATATTTCATGAACAATAATTATATATCTTACATTCTTCTAAATTTTTTGGCTACTTTAAGATCCCAAGCTTCCAGAAGATCACATTATAAATCCCAATAGAGTTGTCACTCATCTCTGGTCTCTCCTTTTTAGTCTTCCTCTGTTGTGCAGCACCTATTCCAAGGATCAGAACAGATGTCACCTTTTTTCTCACCAGAACGACAGAAAAAAAGTCTGCAGGTCCCATGTTGCAAAAGGCAGACAGTGTTTCTAATTCCAGGTGGAATATCCCCTGTGGATACAACAGAATATAGTTGATACATAATTCACATATTTCAGACCATAAAGGATGCCTCCAGCCACCACCTCACCCCAAGACACTTATAAACAAGTCCCAGTTTAATTGAGTTCCTTAGCTATAAAATAATAATCTAGTATTAATCTATCCATATATTTAATCTATTAATAATTGACAATAATCTACACCTCAGAATGTTTCTGTGAGGATCCTATAGCATATTGTATAAAAGACACCACCTGGCCTGTAGTAGACCCTGCCCATTATATCAGGGTTCTCAAGCTTTCTGGTGATAGCTTTGAGTTAATGCAACTGCAGAAAAGCAAAAGTGGCTTGGGAGAAAAGAATGGAATGATGGGGGTGAAAATTTTGGTCTAGGAGATTTAGAAATACTTCTGACTCTTAGCTTGCAGTCCAATTTTTAATTCTACAACCTATGATGAAAGAGACAAAATAAAGCCATCTTCCTGAAAATGACATATGGCTCATAAGTCAAGTATAATCACATAAAGTTTCCCTAAGGAAGGTATTTTCTATTTTGGAATAGGAGAATTCAAAGCAAAGTTTGATATCTGGTCTTCAAAAGTCACCTATCATGACTGAAAAACAAAATACAGTGCTGGTCTTGCATGATTAAAGAAACCGTCTTCCACAATATCCCAGCTTCAGAAGAAGCTTATTCTATAAACTTCTCTCATTCTTACCTGTTGAGAATTGGGGGGAATAGTGAAACGAAGAGGTGGATTACACCACTAATGAAGCAAGGAGAGGACCAGCAGTCTAGAGCCTGGAGATCTGAAATCTGATCTTACTTCTGCTAACTAATTATCTCTCTTTGGACAATTCATTTAACAGGCCATACCTTAGTTTTCTCATCTCTAAAATAGGTTATCTGAGAAAATTGGGGGAATATTATAAATGTGAAGAGTGATTATTACCATAATTATTAATTGCACAGCAGAATAATTAATTCTTTCTCTGGACCTCAGTTTCCTCTCTGCAGAGTCAGAGGTTGTGGTAGAAAATCTCTAATTCTCTTCTAGATTTGACATTAATATGACTTCAGTTTCTCCAAGAAACTATTCTCAGATGACAGTGAATGTTTCCTATTTGTATCAAAGCAAAAAAGTCCCCTTTTCTTGTTTTTGACCCTTATTGCTTATATTTTACTTTATATATATGTATGTATGTATGTATATATATATATGTGTGTGTGTGTGTGTGTGTGTGTGTGTATACATGCAAGCTCTGGTGGCATAGTGGATAAGGCACTTGACTGCTAACCAGAAGGCCAGTGGTTCAAAACCAACAGATGCTCCCCAGAAGGAAGATGGGGTGGTCTAGTTCAGTAAAGATTTAAAGTTTCAGAAACCCAATGGGGGTTTCTATGAGTCAGAAACCACTCAATGGCAGTGAGTTTGGTTTTGGAATATAAGTAAGATCAAAATAGTCTAAAGCCAAGTCCCAGATGATCCACCTGTACTCAACAACAGCACATAGACACACACCCCACACTCAGACACACACAAAGGTACATCCTGAACACAAACACTCCACACACAGACATACCTCAAACACAGACATACATAAATGGAATGTTTGCACTGCCTTCTAGCTCTCTCCCTTTGATCTCTGCTGGCTGGGAACAGTCTCGTAACCTTTCCAGGAAGCATTTACCTGAGTTAGTTTGGACCAAGCAGAAGAGAACAGCAAAAAGAAAGAAGACTTTCATGTTTTAAGATTCCCTAAGATTTTCCAGTCCTCCTGTGCAGAAAGGCAAATCTGATGAGTGAGTGGAGTGAAATGGAGTGTGAAAAGCACAAAAATAGACATTTATAGGTTTTGGAGAACACTAATCAGGAATGAACATATTTATCTGGTCTACTGAGTAAGGCTGTGGGCAGAAGGTACTAGATACTGTACACTTTCTGCCTAAAAATAGACAGGCTTTTTAGGATTCAGAGAAATAGGGCTTAACCAATAACTAGGTATACTGAGGTAGAGGAAGAAAGAGAACCAACATTGATGAGTGACTATATAGTGCCAGGCATGGTGACAGCAATATATATGCAAAGACATGATTCCTGCCTTCAAAGAGCTACCAGTTGGACAGTATCTACCATAGTTGAGCATATGCATAGTCTATGCCCCAGCAATTTCATTCCTGATGCACCAACAGATATTTAGGCCTGTGTACACCAAGAAACATGTACAAACATGTTAATAGTATCATTATCCCTTATGTCCATCAACAGAAAACAATGCACACAGTGTATAAAAACACAGTAATAAAATAAATACGGTATTCCTACAGCAAAGAAAATAGAAAAAATATATATATGTAGGCAACATTGATGAACCTTACAAGCAGTATGATGAGTGGGAAAAAAGAAACAGGCAAATACAGCACATCATATCATTTCACTTGTATAAAGGTCAAACATATGGCAAAACTAATTTATGTATTGAAAGTCAAGATGTTCTCTACTTTGAGGAAAGATGGTAATCTATCTATTCTGTGGTGCCAGATACTGTACTAAGTAAGTGTGGAAGATAAAGTGATGAAAGATTTCATCCATCACCTGAGTAGCTGGCACTCTAGTGGAAGATACAGGCAGCAAACATAACAACTGTGCTGGGTCAACCTGTGCACTTGTTCCTATAGGATACAGAGCAGAGGAATCCAGGCCTGCCTAAGTGTGAGAGATACAAGGCAAGTCTTCATAAGGAGTGTGCTGCTACAGAAGCCTCTAGAAGGATCACTTTTTGATGTTTATATAATGGATAATGCTAAAATGACTACTTGATGCAAATAAACATTTAGCCCTTACGTATTTTAAGTCCCAAGGTCATTTAGATTTATTTCCTTTAAAATTAACTTGCTAAAAAGTGAAAATCTTCTTCCCGTCCTGTCCTACAGATCTTCATGACAACTCCCACTAGGCTTTTATGAATCCTTCCATAATTTTCTATGCATATATAGGTATATATGAATCTGTATCCCTCTTTTTGTATAAATTATAATTCATTGTACACATTATTCCAGACTTGTCTTTTTTTTTACTTTATGTATCTTGAAGATCTTTTTAAACAGCTATATAAAGAACTTCTTCATTCTTTATAAGAGCTGTAAATATTTCTGAAATGGTTGTTTCCCACCTTATTTAACTAATCTAAAACAAATAACATTTGACCGTCAGTCTTAGCTAAAAAAATAGATTTTGACTAGAAGTGTCAGGCAGAGTAGGTCCAGAGGTAACATAAATGGTTTATGCTTCACTACTAACAAAATGTTTGGCATTTTGGTTTCACCTGGCAGCGCCATGGAAGAAAGATCTGAAGATCTACTGCAGTAATATTACAAAAATTGAAAAACTTATGGAGCACATTGAAAAAGCAAGGTTGTCATCAATTAGAATCAACTGGATGGCAATAGATTTGGTCTTTTGGTTTTGGTCAGGTGGAGCAGAACTAGACTTCTAGAGATCAGCAAGGGCATCCATGAGCAAGCTTCAAATGCCATAAAAAATGGTGATGGCAGATGTTCATTTTGGAGATTTCAAGCTTGAGAAAATTAAGCAAAGACCAAACCAGTTGCCATGGAGTCAATTCTGACTCATGATAACTCATGGACGTCAGAGTAGAACTGTGCTCTATATGGTGTTCAATGACTGAATCTTTATGCAAATAGATCTCCAGGTCTTTCTTCCAAGGCATCTCTGGGTTAACTTGAACATCAAACCTTTCAGTTAGCAGTCTAATGCATTAACTATATGCACCATGGAGGGACAAAGCAAAGACAGTGGGCCTTAGCAAAGGATACACTGATTCACAGGTTTTTCTGTATTTCATAAAACTACTTATGAAAATGAAACTTTAGGGGAAATTTCCAAGGTACCATGAGCTACTTTTCTCTTTATAGTAACAACAAACTAAGTGTTCAAGAACAGATGTTGGGAGTTTCAGCCAAAATGGCAGCTTAGTCACATATATCCATTGTCCTTCTACAGCAACGACCCCAGAAACTAAATGAAACAGATACAGAAGCCAATCCCAGAACTCTGAGTATCAAATGAGAGGATAAAGAACTAGATTGAATGCTGTTTGGAAGAAGGAACTGACTGAAAACAGTAAAGGAGAAGAAATAGAGTGGAAGGGTGCTGCGAGCTGGCGCACCACATTATGACCAATATGAGACAAAGACAGCAGCAATTCCAAATGAGGAGCACAGAAGCCAACTTTGTGGAATTCTTGTTGGAATTCCCAATGGGACATAGAGTAACTGTATAGACATACTCAAAATAAAGTAAGGCCCCTGTAGCTAACAGGAAAAGTCCAGATACCCTCTCCCAGGTACCAGGGAAGCATGTTCTCCTTCCCCCTACCCTCCTAGTGATTAGTGGCAAACTCCCCCTATCCCTACAGCATCAGCCACTAGGGACCAAGGTGCAAACCACTCCTTTTCTCAACCACTCAACCCCAATCACCACCATCAAACCTATACCAATTGTCACTCTTCTCTCCACCCAACAACCCTGCCGTACAGGATCAGGTCACTTGAACACAACACCAGCTGCTTGCCCTGCTCCTCCTGCCTGTTGACCAAACTAAGCAGTGACAGACTGCTTTGGTGCAGCATTCACTACTCACCCATTTTTTCAACCTACTGACCAAGTAACACCCTACACACACACTCCTGCCCACTGCTTCTTTCCTCATTTCCCTGCCTGCTGTGGTCCCCTCCCCTCCATTCACCTGACAAGGAAAGTAAGCACACAACTATGCACCCACTGGCCACTCCTACCATTAAGAAGTGGTGGCAGCATGACCATATGCTCACTCATCCACCATTCACCTCTCATCTGGTTAGAGGTGGCAAATGTATTCCTACATGCTAGCCACACCTGTTTCACCACTCACTCAGAGAGTACCACTACCTGCTCCTGCACCACCGGATAGATGACAGACAGAGGCCAATTCCCACCCAATCCACCCTCAGTCACCCTGCAAGACCAGCAAATAGAGACCATGCTCATGCGTTCAGTTGCTACCCCACCTACCAAGAGACAAATGGTTAGCACTCCAGTGTGTCCAGACTAGTGACCAGAGTAGCATGCCCATCCCACCTACCAAGATACATCAAAATGAAATATAACAAAAAATTAGGATACAGGACATGAATATACAATTAATAAATAAGTATAATGACACTTTACTGCCTCAGAAAAAACAGACAATATCAAATCACCTAAAGAAGCAAGACAAGATGGATCCAGAAAATAACCAAATTAAAGAAACAAGAAATCTCCCTGAGGAAGAAATGGTAATGGAACTATCTGATGAAGGAATTCAAGGAAACTCTAGTGGTGCAGTGGTTAAAGTATCTAGCTGCTAATCAAAAGGTCAACAGTTCGAACCTACCAGTCACTCAATGGGAGAAAGATGAGTCAGTCTGTTTCCATAAAAATTTACAGCCTTGGAAACCCTATGGGGCAATTCTACTCAGTCTTATAGGGTTATTATGGATCAGAATCAATTCAATGGTAATGAGTTTGGTTTGGGGTTTGATAAGGAAGTCAAAAGATTTATATGTACACCCTTCCAAAAGAACAAGACAGAGATCAATGAAAACACAGAGAAAATCAAGGAAAACAGAGACAAAATTCTAGACAAATTCAAGGACACAATACAGGACCAAAATGATAAAATAAATGGACAATTAAAAATCATACAAAAACAGTAACTAGAAATTCAGAAGATTAACACTAGAATTCAGAAACAGATAATGTATGACAAAGAAGTAATATTAAATCAATGGAAGTCAGAATCAGTGAAACAGAGGACAAATCCCTTGATACAAATCTGTTAGAGGAATATTCAGCAATATGAATGAAGATAGCCAAAGGGTTATTTGAGACATCATCAAGAGAAATAATTTACATGTGAATGGAATTCCAGAACAGGAAGGAAAAAAACCACAGTGAAAATTTTAAAAGATTTGAAGTCAGAAAACTTCCATAATATTGTGAAAAAGGAGAAAATATCCAACCAAGAAGCTTAACAAGCACAAAATAGTATAGATAACAAAAGAAAATCACAAGGCCAGTCATAATCAAACTTTCCAAAGACAAATGCAAAGAAACAGTCTTGAGAACAGCTCAGGAAAAATGAAGTGTAAGCTACAAAGGGAAACCAATAAGACTTAGCTTTCTTGGCAGAAACTATGCAGTGTAGAAGGTAATGGTATGCCATATATTAAACCCTGAAATAAATTTTAAAAAATAAAATAAAATAAAATGAGAATTACATATTCAGTAATATTGTCTGTCAAATATAATGGCAAAATTAGGACATTTCCAGAATGTCCAAACAGAAATTAAGGGATTTGTAAAAGCCAAAACCAACCTTACAAGAAATAGTAAAGGGAGTCCTTCAAACAAAATCAATATCATACAACAACTTGACATTAAGGCTCATGACAATATCATTCAGAAACCAACCCAGAAAGATAATTTTCAAAATGAAAAAGACTGTAAATAAGGAAACAAAGACTATAAGTGACAAATTAAAAAAAAAAAAAAAAAAAAAGAGGGCATAAATGGTTTAGTTATAGTACTTCCATATGGAGTGGAAGTTAAGGCAACATCAAGATAGAAGAAAGTGTTCTAAATTCAGGAAGATAAAAGTAATATTCAAAAGAAAACAAAAAACAAAAAAGTGACAAATAAAAAA